CTCCTCCTCTCTCTCTCTCTTCTCTCTCTCTCTCTCTTCTCTCTCTCTCTATATATATATATATATGCGCCGATGACGGCCATCCGTCTGCACCTGGACCCCCCAGTCTTCCAGAGCGGGTCTGCCGCACGCCAAGTTGAAACCCGACCTGATAAGACTGGTTCGACCCGATAGGACGACATATGTGACAGCACCGCTCCTGCTGCTTGTTTGTTCGTGGGAAGGTTGTCCGGAGCTTCAAGCTTGCACAGGCTTTGGGTGATCATGTCGAGGTTAAAAAGGCAACAAGAGGATTGGATAGCCGGCTTTGGGTGCTCATGCGCGTTGGGGTTAAAGAGGCGGGCAAGAGGACTATTAATTTTCTCGATTCGATCACAGTTGCTTTCCGGTTTCCACTGTCCTGGAGGCTCTCATTCGACAAGGTTGCAGTGTCTCGAGGGCTCAAATCGTCTTCTTTCTCCATTGATTGAATTAATTTGCTAGATTCGATCACGCTTGCTTTCCGGTTTCCACTGCCCTGGTGTCTCTCATTCGACAAGATTGCAGTGTCTCGAGGGCTCATCCAATCACATGCGCCAGCCATTCCTTTGGCTTTCACAGCTGCTGCGGTGAAAGCGGCAGTACATGTGGTGTTCTTATGAGTCATGAACACTCCTTCGGTTCTGTCCGGTGCATCGCTTCGGAGGCAAGGAAAGTACAGAGAAGCCATCATCACTCGTCGTTTTGGATGCATTTGCGTGAAAGCAGCTGGAGATTTTTTTTGGGCAATATTTCACCGTCCAAGAAGAAGGGCGCGAGCACGAGGGTCCGTCGCTTGGCTGAGTCTCATGTCTGACTCGGCCTTTGGGTCTTCTTTTACGTTACATTATCACATATTATTCATTCGTCTCCTACCTACCTCCTGCACTTACCCTTGTGCTTCTCTAAATCACGCGAGCAACTTGTCGTTTGTTCGAGGTTGACAACAACATGCCTCCACGACCACCCCGTTTGCCCAAACTGCTACGACGGTTGACATCCGGCCTCTTGCTTTCTGTATCTCTATCTCCTGATTCAGCGACTCGTCTCGCGGTTGCCTCTCCTACATGCAACGCATACGAGACCCGGTCAACCTCTCCAATCATCCAAACTCCCAACCGCTTGCTGATACGACGATGCTCGAACACGGAATTTAATCGAGTTGCTGGCTCCCAAAAACAGATGACGGGTTAAAAGTTAAATTTGGTACATAGATTCTAGTGGCGTCTATTCGTTGACCCGACATTGCCTAAATTTAGAAGATTTGGGTCTTTGGTAATTAACTAGGGGCAGTCCGGTATTTTCACGCCCCGATTCACATGACGATTACCGGGAAAAAGTCCAAATTTGGACATCCATTACATGTCCAGCTACCCCACCACCATGGCATGTGGTCATCTCCATCGTTCAGATTATGGTGATATCCATGCCATTGTTCGGAGCACTCGTAGGCCACCCTTGTCATCATACGACGCCGTCGTGGCATCCCGGTCTCCATCACCACCCTGTTGAATCCCCTCTCCCCCATAATTTCTCCTGTTCCCTTCCGCCTATCCGTCGTCAGATCCACCACCAAACGGAAGCTCCTTCGATTTCACAACTGGCAAGAAGATGGAAATCTTTGCTTCCTATGGCCTCGTCAATGGGATTTCTCTGTCTCTCTCCCTCTCTCTCGTGTAAGGCAATCCCTCCCAACATAAAGAAAAAGGAAAGTGGAGTTTGTTCTTTTATCGTTGTCATGCCATTCCAATCTTCGTGGAGGCGAGGTTTGCACAAGTTTATAGTCGGAAGACATCCGAGCTTTTCTTGTTTGCCCTTTCAATCTGACCCGCTTGCGATAGTTCGCATCCCTTCTTTTTCTTCTTCTTCTCTTTAGTGTCAAGATTTTCACATCAAACTGCGAGCTGTGAACTCCTATATCATTTCTCACCTTAAGACCTCCATTGTGAAAAGTTCCAACTTTTCTTCACTCTCTTTCATAAAGAGCCAAGGTTCGATTCATAGATGATGAGATCCTTCTTGTCTTCAGGTAATGCGATTATTTGCGTCTCTGTTGTGTTGTTGCTTCATGCAAATTCATTTCCTGTTTGATGCAAGTGATTTTATTGTTCTTTTCCCAAAGGAATCCACTACCAACTTTTAGAAGACAGCGAAGACAGGATGTTTGGAGCCCAAGCTCAGAGAGAAGTGTCCGATGGGTTTGTCCCGACAAGAAGACCCTATTGGATAACCTCAGCCACCCCTGGATCCAGGGCCACCACCATCACCTCTTCCATTCCCAAGAAGTCAAGCAACTTCCCTGTCAAATTCGAAGATATGTACGGGTTCACCGTCGAGGGGAACATCGACGATGTCAATGTTCTGAATGAGGTGAGGGAGAGGGTAAGGGAGCAGGGCAAGGTTTGGTGGGACCTCGAGGCGAGCAAAGGTGCAAATTGGTACCTGCAGCCGCAAATCTCATGGAATGGTGAGGGCATCAGCGTCGCCTCGCTAAAGCTGTCGAAACTTGCCAACACAATCACGTTGAAGAGGCTCATCAGGAAGGGGATACCCCCGGTGCTGAGGCCAAAGGTGTGGCTTTCCGTATCTGGTGCGGCAAAGAAGCGATCCACGGTGCCTGAGAGCTATTATGATGATCTGATCAGAGCTACAGAAGGGAAAATCACAGCTGCCACACGACAAATCGATCATGTGAGTTCTTGATTCTCATGGTATACCAAAATATAAAATTGAGTTAGTATGATTTGCTATGGGCATGATATATTATCTTAAAAATTGGTTTAGAATGTTGTATGGTTTTTTTGGATATGATGCCTAGGAGTACTCCATATCACAAAATCGTATCTTTCCTCCTTCAAAAGGATGTAAGATCTCATGTCAACTCTGTTATCATGTGCTTATCGGAGAGTTCATATTTCACATGAACTGCAAAACAAAAACAAATGAGTTAAGCATTCCTCACTAACACGTAGCTTAAATACACATGAAAAGTTTAACAATGGTGATGCCTTGGAATCCAAATAGCAGTGATGGAAGATTTCAGGTTTTATTGGCAATATATCAAGGTTGTTCATCGTGGATGTGGATGTTGTTCATGCTAACAATATTGCACCACTCCATTATTGTAGCAATTTTGGGGGCGCGGGGGGGGGGGGGGGAAAGGCTTTGTCAGTGCATATGTGCAATTGTTTGTGTCCATCTGTATCCGTAATAATCATGAGTTAGAAGTGTTGAGATATCCTAGTGATTAATGCAGTGTCTGCATAATTAATAGGTTCAACTCCATGTAAAGGTATTTTGTAAGACATCAAATGTAATGAATGAAAAATAATTAAAAACAACTGAGGAATTTTATAGAAGCAAAACGTGTCTACGTGATGAGTTGGAAATGAGAAATGCACATACTCCTGCATTTGATAGGACAGTTTCTAGATGTGACAGTTGGTCATAATTCTAAGAGCATCATATTATAACTAATAAATCTTCCAAAGAAACTACATCATACTATCATCTTTTCATCCGGTTGCTGGTTTTTAGCCATGTTAGTTATCGTCACAGTAATATCTTCTACTTTAAGAGAGTTTGTAACCAGTGAATTTTATGAGTTTCTTCCTAGAGCCACGCATCCAGGTTGTTTATTTCATTTGAAGCATAGAAGCAGTTGTGATAATCCATGTGTTCCAACGGAAAAAGGTTTCTTTGGAAATCGTGAAAGTACTACTAGAGTTGGATATGTCATTATTTATCATGGACGCAAATCTTATGAAGTTTTAACATTTTGGTTTATTGCCGGTCGTGACACTCTGCCAGACCATATGGTCTGTAAACCAATCTGAACTGCCCAATTATCACTGAAGAAAATTATTTTAAAAAAATATTGACCCAAAAACAAGCTATATTGTGTGATACTAGTTGTTGGTTGAACTGGTAAGAATGTGCCAGTATATGCCAACTCAAGCAGTGTTTATAATCTTGATTCCTATGGCTTTTTAATTCACAATTTTACTAACTTAATCAATACCATGGAATACATGCAGGATCTTCCAAGAACTTTTCCCTCTCATCCATGGTTAGACAGCCCCGAAGGTCAGGCATCACTTCGGCGGGTCCTTGTTGTGTATTCTTTCCGGGATTCAGATGTTGGTTATTGCCAGGTAAATGGAGTTTGCCTTTTCATTTGATACTAAAATAAATGTGTTGCAGTTCCTCTAATACATTGGAAAATTTTAACTGCTATTGCAGGGTCTAAATTATGTAGCTGCCTTACTGCTGCTAGTAATGAAAACAGAGGAAGATGCTTTTTGGTTGCTTGCTGTCCTCTTGGAAAATGTATTAGTGAATGACTGCTACACTGATAACCTTTCCGGATGCCATGTGGAGCAAAGGGTATTTAGAGATCTTCTTGCAAAAAAGTGCCCCAGGTAACTTCCATGCTTCTATGCTTCCAACTCTATGCTCATTACTTTAATGTCCATGACCAGTTCATTTTTTTTTACCATTCAGGATAGCCGTCCATTTGGAAGCTATGGAGTTTGATGTTTCTCTTGTAGCCACAGAATGGTTCCTATGCCTCTTCTCAAAGAGCTTACCTTCAGAGGTGACATAAAATTTAAGCAATTTTTAATGATTTGCCAATAGACGTGAGACCGAAAAAGACCAAGAAATATTTGCTGTATAATTTGTATGCAACATAGTAACATATTATACTAATTTCATTGATGTGTAGAATATTTAGCATAACTACTTACGTTCAGAGGTGACATAAAATTTGAGCAATTTTTAATGATTTGCCAATAGATGTGAGACCCAAAAGGACTAAGAAATATTTGCCATATAATTTGTATGCAACATAGTAACATATTATACTAATTTCATCGATGAGTAGAATATTTAGCATCACTTATGTGGATTGTCTAAGCTACCTTTGGCCCAACTTGTTATGAAAAAAGAAAAAGACTTTTGGTGTTTATGTACGCTAATTAGTTAAACTTAGTAGTCTAGTATCTTTGATTGACTACTAGGCAATGGGTTTACTAGACACATTTGCTTTGAGAACAGTCATAATCTGTAAGTCATAACTTCTACTTAAATGCAAGTTTGTCCATAATCTCATGCGAGAGAGAGAGAGAGAGCATCTAAATGTGAGAACTAACATCATATTTAACTATGTCAATTAAAATTTTCTTATCATCTCTTTGAAATATTAATTATAGAAGTTTTTTTCAGACAACACTACGGGTTTGGGATGTTCTGTTCAACGAGGGGGCAAAGGTTCTTTTCCATGTTGCCCTGGCATTCTTTAAGGTATATAATTGTATCTTGTGTGTTGTTCTTTTATAGGTAAACTCATTTGCTTTGAGAAATTTTCGAAGCACTTCTTTTAAATATAGCAATGAAAGGTCATCGATTTATAGTATATTACGCATGAAGAAAGAAATTACATGCAATCTGTTTTGGATAGAACAGCATTCGATAGGACTATAATTTGTCCTTCATCATGGTCATGCTTTAACAATCTCCATGTTACCGCAGATGAAGGAAGAAGAGTTGCTACAGGCCCTTCAAATCGGCGAGGTAATTGATATTCTGCAAACGACCACCCATCATCTATACAACCCTGATGAATTGCTGAGGGTATGAACATTTCCTTATTTTGCTGCCAGCAATGGAAGTTCTTTTATCATAGTTAGAGCATCTGCAATTATATTTTGTTAGGCCATTTATTGTGAGTTCAAATAGCATTCTTGGTTCCTCTCTTGAATTCTATTGGTTGGAGTTTAATAACATTGAAAGAAAATATCTAGCATTGTCTTCCTTAATTGGCATTGGAAAATAGTGAGAGGAATATTTTGTACGGTAGCTCGTGAGAACTGTATCGAGTTACCTCCTGGATGCCAATTCTTAGAACCTTAATTATTGTCTGTCAGTGGTTGTCTGCCTGAGGAGCTCAGATGAGTGGAATAGTTTGAGTTGTATGAGGTTTCCGCCATGTTTTAAATGGCAGACTCAAGATAAGAACAGCGGTGACTGACCAATTTTTGAACATCAAGAAGTGACCATGGTGATTTATCCACTGTTTCATTGCAGGTAGCTTTTGAAAAAATTGGTTCTATGACTAGCAACACAATCACAAAGGAAAGGAAGAAACAGGAACCAGCAGTCATGGCTGAGCTCGACCAAAGGCTGAGACGACTCAATATGTTGAAGACAAACGAGTGATAGATACACTGGAGCGAAACCAGACATTCAAACTTGGCCGGTCGATGCTACTGCGGAGATGGTAGAAGGTTTCGTCCCAATGTGCGAAGACCGGAGATTAAAATAGCAAAGTGAGATTATTTCATAGATATCATGACTTGGGTTCGGGGTAATAACCAGCCTGATAAAATTTTCTGTAGTCGTGTAAAAAGAATTTGGTCTCACTCTGAAAGAAAGAAAGAAAGAAAATTCACAGAGTTCAGATCTTCCTACTCCCCAAGTCCAAATACGAGAACAATCTAAAGATGAACATGCCAAAAGAAGCCTTAGCATTATAAGTTTCGCTACAGTTTTATGCAATTAATGGTGACTGATTCAGTCCGCTATTGTCATTACTTGTGTTTCCTATCACAGATAAAAATTAAAGCCCGCTGCCCGTTCCTCCAAACATTACAACTATCACTGGCCCTTCCACTTGGTTTGACGCGACTGATGGTGACTGACGTTTCGTGGAAAGGGAATTCCATCCATGATCATAAGCTTTCCTAAAGATCAGCATCAGAAGGTCAAGTCATGTTACGATCGAGTAAAACCTCATGCTTCGGTCCCAGAAGGACGACACTATTCGAACACCATGGCTTCCATGCAAGCCCCGCCATTCGCGTGGCTTGCAGCCATGGCGTTTCGTTCATGACTTCTACTTGACACAAACTGCAACGGTTCAAGTTGGATAAGTCTGTAAGGATCACGTAGTTCGTCCAATGAAACTCTGTTCTTTCTTCTTCTTCTTCTTCTTACTGATCTTGTCCAAGGAGCAACAAATGATTCAAGAAGAATCAGGAATCGTGCAATATCTACCTATCCGATCTTACTGATGAGATCCAGCCTCGCTTTCGCTTGCTTAATCTTCCAGCGCAAGAGATCACAAGATTCCAGACCTCGTCAATACTACTTGTGATCCTGACCGCATTCCCTTCGGGAACTGAAGCAAATATCATATACACAGACAAGACAGACACACGCACGGAGTATATTATCTCCCGCAATGCATGTACGTGAGCACTTGGAGACATGATACTCCGTACTGGCCTGCTGCCCACAAGGTCTTGCTCGGTCTGATGACGCTGCAACTCAAACGGGTAGAGGGTTGCTCAACAAAGGCGGGAAAGATGTTGCAGGATGGTCTGGAAGAACATATCTACCGACTCTGAAGGAAAAGTCTCGTCTCCACAAGCTCATTTCGGTGGTTTCAGAACCACCTCACCTATCTTCAACCACATGCTATGCTTAAGAACGCAGCCGAGACCCCGCCCTTGCTCATCGAACCCCAAATGGCAACTCCATTCAAACTCCTCTGTTTTCTCTTCGCACTAACGTCCTCCACGTCCCTTCTCCCTTCTTCCTGCGCTCAAACCTGCTCCGGTTACACCTTCTCTGACAACAAAGTCTTCAGCTCATGTACTGACCTCCCTCACTTGGGTGCCTCCCTCTACTACGACCGTGATGCCTCCGCGAACACGGTATCCGTTGCATTCAAGGCCCCTCAGACCTCCACCGGTTGGGTTGCATGGGGACTCAACCCAAACGCCACCAAGATGGTCGGCTCGCAGGCCATCGTCGCATTTCTCCACTCCAACGGGAGCATGATGGCCTACCCGACGCAGCTTGATAGCTACGCCCCGTCGATGGCCCCCGCGGCGCTGAGCTTTCCGGTGAACGACGTGTCGGCGGAGTATGTCAACAAGGAGATGATCATCTTCGCTACCTTGGGGCTCGTCGGTGGAGGCACCAAGTTCAACCAGGTCTGGCAGGAGGGCAGCACTGTGTTGAATGACGTACCCAAGGCCCATTCTACCCGCGGCGACAACATCAAATCCTTGGGCACTATCGATTTCCAGTAAAACTTGTAGCTTCAGGCGTGTTCCACGGCAGCTGTTGTCGAGTGAATTGCTTCTACAGTTATGTGGGTTAGGCAGCTGCTTTGTCATACGAGCTTGCGTGATTGTGTCATTCTTAGTTGTAACGGGATATACTCGATATAAATTCGGTACCGTACTATGTTTCTACTCTCACCGGTGGATGGAGCTCGCTCTGAACAATGGAACTCGATATAACCATTGGATGCCGAGACATTCATGCGACCAATCAGGTACACCATTATCCGAGGAAATGTCCCTGGGAGACTGGTGGTTCCTTTCGGACTGCGTGGTGTCGAAGGCAACTGCAGGCATGCACAAAACAGTATCCGTTTGGAGCATAAAATCATAATCATATTATTATTTGAAATAAATTTAATATTATATTTTAAAATTAAATAATAATATATTAAGATTAAGATATATATATTTTAGTATCATTCAAATCATAGAACTCACTATTTAGACAAATCCCTACAACATAACAATAATATTTATTGATATATTAACTCGTCTTTTTATGCTCACAATCTCTATTCTAAGAAAATATTTTTTAAGGAGGCTTTAGTAAACGAATAAGTAATCATTAAGGTGGTCATTAAATTCTCAATTGACTTTTTTTTTCAAACTTTTTCTCTAATCATAAATTATTTTATTTTGATATGTTTGGAACTATGAGAATACTTTATCATTCTTAAAAAAGAAGGCTACTATGTTGTTATCACAAAATATTTTTAGCGATCTAACAATTGAGTTAACCATACTAAGTTTTAAGATGAAATTCTATAACTATACATCTTGATTTGTGACCTCAAAATATGTAATAAATTTATCTTCTACAAGCGATTGTTTTATATTTTTTTCAAGAAATTATCCATTTAGCTAACATAAAAATAAATTTCGAAGTAAATTTCTAACTATTAAGATAATTTATAAAATCAGCATGTGAATATCGTATCATTTTAAGTTAATCTGATATCTTATATGCGAGCATATAATCTTTCATCCCCTATATATATTGTATCATTGTTTTATAATTTTTTGATATTATATTCTTAGGTTGCTCTCATAATATTCTAACTACAAAACGGATATATGGTTTCACATAGATTTTATAATATAATAAACTTTCACATGACACTAGCCTTAATTAAAATTTTGACAACTAGTAACAACAAGCATATCATTAGCCAAAGCCAAACAAAATCACTTACTAGATTTCTTGGCTACTCGATTAATATATATATTTTCTAAAATTATATATCTCCTTTAATATCTCAATGCTAATAATATAAGTTACTTTATTAATATCAACCATTTTAAAAATTTTAATACAATAAACTAAAATTATTAATGATAAACAAAATATCATCCATTCCATACCAATATAATAATGTTGCTCCTGGTCAACCTTTCCCCGTAATAAATTTTATTCATGTCATTCGAGGATTACAGCCAGAAACAACATAGGTGAATGATTCGTGTCAGGGCTTCGATTTTAGACGAACAACATTGGCTTCGAATTGATTGATTGATTTGATGTCATTGTGGCACGGCAAAATTGAAGATAGAGCACGATGAGACTGGATGCCAGGCCTGTGCCTGTGCCTGTGCCTGTGCCTGTGCATCAACTACTGTGGATTCTTTGCAAGTGCGGCGACCATGAATATGTGCTCAAGTGCCATACTGAAATGGTTCAGGAGCAGGCCAAGCTTGCAGCATCCTCCATCGACAATCTTCTGAACGGCAGTGGTAGCGACAGCGGACGACGACCGAGTGCCTCCTGCAATCTCTGCCGAAACAAATGCACGAATCGGCGGTGTGTCTGAGCAGTATAATCCGCATCCATGAAGAAATGGTATGGAGAGTCATATTAGGTTTTCGTGATCCGAATTCTGCTTTTTAGCAGCGTTTGGATTTTAAGCAAACCTATACATACCCCTGCACGCATTGCTATCGATGCTACGAGACCGACCAACATGCTATCGAAATTACGAACATCGTGTCTCCCAACACAAGTAATTATTCACTACCTGATTCGAAGTAATTATTCTTTTTTAAACCATGCAATTCCTAGCCTATCCAGAGACGATATGCCGATCAAATTCCAAAACCGTATGTCCCCCCCACAAAAACAGAGACATTTCATAGATTAAAGACAGATTACACAACTCAGTATTATTTGGAACCTTACCCTACGGACAATCTGATACCGAGTTTTACTCGCTGTGACTTGAATCAAGTATTAAGGTTTCTAAACCAATATACTCAGAATTACAACAACAACAACAGAAAAAGGTAAAGACCAAGTAAAAAAACTACAATAGAAGCAACCGGACATCATGTCCCACGCTAAATGTTAGCCCCACGATAGGACGGTGAGGTTAGCATTTAGTCCAATCAATTTTCACAAGGTACGCCATCCAGTTGTCAAGTCACAGCAATTATAGATCGTAGCAAAAGAGCTAGAAGATCTTGTCATCCAGTCGTCTTAGTCACAGCAATAATAGATCGTAGAAACATTATGTGCACATGCAACTGATGCACCTTAGGATGTTCATACAAAGTCGTAAGAAACTTGATTCAAAACACAGGTCCACACTGGGAGGCTGCAACAGAAATAAAAGAGCATTATAAATTGGGCTTCTTCCAAACAACGAGCCAAAAAAGGCTGCAGGAGATGCTGCAGCCTTTCCCAGAATCACATGGTCAGCTTAGACTCGATAAAAACCTGACTTGAACAACCAATAATCCCATTCACTCGGAAACTCGGTGGAAAAATGATACGAAAACACCTGCAGGTCACACGGCAATAAAACTGATACCTTTTCCTTTTCTTTTTTACAAACATGAAAATACAACCTATCAATTCCAATATCAAGTTTAACAAAAGGCTTTCTACTGGTTTTGCCACTATCACATTGTCTAATGAGCATACGCAAAATCTACCTTAAAACTTCAGTAGCTCCCTTATAGCAACTCCATGAGATCAGCTACAGAGCAACTGTAATCCAATAAAAAATAAATTACCTCACTCAAGTCCGGTCAGGCTCAAACAGCTCACATCATGCTCTTACTAAAGCAAGATATTTATAGATAGTGAAGAAGGCTGAGACATAAATGTTCCACAGAGAAAACATCTAATATAGGTAACACATCGAAAAGCAAAATATAAGAAAAACATTGGATTAACAGCGAAAACATCTAAGATAAGTCGCACATTGTAAAGAAAAATATAACAAAAACATGAAATACGTAAGGTAGATAACTAAGACCAGCATACACACAAAGATTCACATCATACTCCAGTTGTCCATTGAATGATAGCTGATTGAATTTCATCAGAATTAACCTGCAGCATCTTGAGACCGAACTGGAACAGCCTATCAGAAAACAGACATCTTCATATGGGCAACCAACTCTCATAACATGCTATCTGTTCTAGCAGGCAATCTTCTGAAAAAGTTTAGAGGCACTGATGGAAGCTTATGCCGGAACCTTGGGTGCCTCAACACGTACAAACCTGTTAAAAAAGCAACAACACGGAATGGTGTAACATAGAGAACAACAGCAGCAACCAAGCAGAATGTCACAAACAAAGCAGTTGCTCTAGGGTCCCGCCAGCTCAACAGAGATTGTAACCTTTCCCCTTGTGTCGCCAGGTCACCAACAACAGTTTGTATTCTACCTGCAACGCTCCTTAAACGATCATATCTCATCCTCACAATGTCAGGCGGACGGGATGTGGGAAAAGTATCAAACTCCTCATCAAGCTCGTCAGGGTGTGCAGTGTCTGCATGTGACAACCGAGTGTCCATGTAAGGAGGCTGCCGTGGTCGCCAACGAAAGTACCAGACTCCAATCAAGAACAGGTACAGGAAAATTGTTGGGAGTATCAATTCTGGGTATAAGATCAAGATGACAAAGAGGACATGGATCAAAATTGTAGTCAAAGGATTCTTCCAATGGCAAATCTGATCAAACCACTTTCCCACAGCAACCAGAGGACTTAAGACGCCCATGATTCTGAAAAAATTCGCTTTGCTCTTTCGCATACTCCACATGTGAGAATCCACATCCAACATATATTCAACAACCTCCTTCCTCAAGGGTGGCTCTGCACGGCTCAATCTCATTGATACTATCTGTGTGGCCTGATGTCGCAAATTATCAAGCTGCATGACAGACAATGGATGGAGGTAATGCATCTTTGGCAGCAACGGCTGGGAATACATATGCAAAATATTAAGAAGAGAAGAACATGTAAATCGGACAGCCAGCTGGACTTCACCCATTTTCTTTACTCCCGAAGGAAGCAAAACAATAAGAGGATAAGAGTGGGTGTAAACTCTGTCAGTTTCAAGCGTAGACAGGCGGATCCGCACCTTCCCAATCCTTGTATCCCTTGTACCAGCTGCTTTCTCCCCTCCTTGCAAGTGACAGTTGTCAAACACACCTATTGTAATGACAGTACATGGGTCATATACCTCCCAAGTGTACTGCTCATTCCACTTTGGAGCAAAACTATCTATGATAGTCCTTGTACGGACCCATTTCTGTCCATATTTAGCGACGCAGTATGCATCTGTCGTTCCCCGGCCATCCTTGGTCTTCATTGGCAACAGCCCCTGAGCACTCAAGATACCAAGTTCCAAAACCCCTATGCTCGGCTTCCACAATTGTTTCGCTGTTGGCCTGAGATCACTGCTGTAGTGTGTTGACTCGTCTAAAACATGGTAACCTCCTTCCAGACATATCCTCAAATGAATCCGACTAGAGAACTTCACCTCCTTTTTCTTCTGGTCACCCTCAACAATCACATGTTTCTCAAGGTTATACCATCTGCTATTGACTGGCTTGTAGTCCAACCTTCTGTCTATCTTCTGTAAGGGAATTACTGTTTTCCCTAATACCTCATCTTTGTTGGGTGCCACTCGGTCTTCGACACTCAAGACCAAGTGCTCCTCAAATGGTTCTGCTGCTACAAACATCAAATCCTCATTCCACATAGGATTTAGGGTCCTGCTTTGTGATATTCTAGTTCTCAGAGCCTGGTTCCCAAGCATAACTTTAACAAAGACCTCAGGGAACCTATTCTTTTCATAAGGTATTAAATCCTGGGCTTCAATGACATTAACCCTTAAATACCAAAGCTTGGGTGTAAGGTAAACCTTTGACCTTATGTTAGCAAGTCCATCGCTGGGGATAGTGGCAGCATCCGAATGCCAAGAATCAGGGAATGCTTCATCAGCTTGAGTACCCATCCAGACAGCCAACATCAGCTCCCCCTTACCTTTGTCGCCTTTCCGATCCTCCAATCTGTACCACTGCGGAGCCAATGGACTGTCAGGAGGAACCCGCTTCGGTACCTCAGTAAGATCAAACAGGACTCTTCCGATGAAATCATCCTTGATGAAATCCTTGTCCTTTACAATGACTTCAAGAACTGAGGCTTGGATGCGGTCCTTGGAAAAGGCAAAGACCTGGTTCCATTCAGGATTAGTCTTCTTCTCAAAATGACGGGTTGTACCTTTGTAGTTCCCAAGTTTCACCTCAACATAGGGGTCACAGCTTCCGGTTACATCTTTTGGTGGAAGGTCCTTGGCTTTCACCACACGCACGTAGAGGTACTGCATCTGCTCAACGAGATCATAGGTGGTGGTGAGCTTGTCACCAGAAACTCCACCACCACCAAGGTGAGGAGAAGTCTCCTTTAAAGAGTACTCCTCGGGACGCAAAGGCCTCTGCATCATCTAAAACTGTAGCGAGCGGAGTAAACAACTTGGGGAAAAATTTCCTGTTCAACTTAGAAGTCGAGACGGAGAAAACGTGAAAGAAATTAGAAAAGATATCTGACACAAATCGGGGCTAGTAAAAAGAAGGCAAAACCCCCCGACTTGATGATGAAGGAAGATTAGAAACTTACTTGGGAAGAGGCAGCACCCTCACGCATTCACATGAAATCCGCCCGCGAACATGGAAACTAAAACGGACTAGTAGAAAGAAATCAAAACAACACCAGTAAGGTCACCATTATGCACCATGGATAGAAGTTCGACTGAGCATCAAAGCACAGACATGCAGCAGGGAAAAATCTCTAGCAACGCAGGATGAGATGTTGAAAGCGTCAAGAAGATGAGCCCAAAAAATGGACAAATGTTCCTTGAAACTTAATGAGTATGAACAACAATGAATCCTAATTCTTAACAACCATGTTCTAGATAGACAAAAAAAGAAAAAGTGCTTATTCTGATGCCTTGGGAGAAAAAAAGAAAGGAAGGAAGACATAGCCAACCAAGAAGGGGAAGAGTACACTATCCAAGCTAGAAAACATACAACGAGCTCGAACAGAGCACTCCCCCTACAACAAAAGGCACCTTAATATCTGATATGAAACGGGAAAAATATAAAGCCGCAGAGGAGAAGAAGAAGAAGAAGAGGAGGAGCGAGTAACGAAACAAAAAAAAAAAAACTTAAAGTGGAAAAAGCTCAAGGCACGGATAAATAAATAGGGATACAAATTATATATATGGTAAAATGGAAAAAAGAAAACATAGATCGAAATCGAACATTGACCCCCCCACACCAAAAAAAAGCAGAAAGGAGCAACGAGAAGATTCGAGGAAAAGAAAGCAAGGAAAGAAAAAGATACAGAGAAAGCGAGACGAATGCAGACCTAGAACGATTGCAATCCTGGCGAAAACTCGAAATCGTTTCCTCCGAGCCTTTGGTTTCAAGCCCTACTCAGCTTTATCATCGGTAAGAAAGGAAAGGAAAGGGAAAGGAAAGGAAGAGTCCGGAACAGGAAATGGGAAGCGAACTCACACTCCTCGCTTATGCTGAAGGAGCGTGTCTTAAGGCAAACCCCAAACCCAAACCCTCCTCCGCTCACTTTTTATATAAACCGAGTTTCCCTTTTTCTCTTTGCTTTTTAACGATTGTTACGGTGGCTTCACATATTTGTCTCTGCCATCCAAAAATTTGGAAATGCCTGAGTTACTATCTCGCTCACTAATCCAACGGTGGCGTCAGTGAAGTGACAGTATAACCCCGCAAACGCATAAAACATTGTCGTGGTCCCTTTTCTTTTTCTTTTTTTTCTAACAAGACTTAAAAGTCATTTTTCAGATTTATAAACACACAATCTAAAAAATATTTTTAAATGTTTATCCTTAGAGTTTGCGAGAATGATGTGGTAGTAGTAGTAGTAGTGGAAAATGTGATTATCGATCCTAATTTTTCGGAATCATACTTGCAACAATCTTATTCACAAGACAAATATTCCTAGAGTCTAGGAATATATATATATATATTAAGAATACTCTAAAGAATATTCTCCCTCCAACTCCGGATCTAATTTCCTTGGTGCATTAATTAATTATCGTCTGGTTAGAAATATTGATGGTATCAATTCTTTAATGTTAAATTTAGAAACCAATCTTACTGCATGAAATATAGGGATGGACGATTTTATCCTCGACCACTGCTACCTCCGCATCTCGGCAGCCCGTTGGGTCCCAGAGGAGGCAAAGAAAGCTGTTGATCATTTCCCACTTCCCTGCTTCGACGGCCCTGATCGAACGTCAGGATACGGCAGGTGAAATGACGAATGAGAGATGAAAAAGAGAAAACTAATAATAATAATAATAATAATAATAATAATAAAAGGAAGCGAAGTGAAGTGAAGGGAGGGAAATGTGGCGGGACCCCCCCCCTCCCCCGACCTCATCGAATGGCTCGCGTCGTTATCCGTCCGTTGTCTCACCGTCTCCTGCCCCACTCGGCGGTCCCCTCTAATTTAATTCATCATAGCGATGGATGGGTGATGGGCTGCTTAATCGGTATTATGTTCGTTCCTCCTGCAATACCGTCAAAAAGCTAAAACTGGCTATAAAAAGAAAAAAAGGTTAAAGCCGATCTAGAGATTTAATCGAACCCAATGCATTCATTCGTCGGGTGGGTTCGAGTCTCAATTCGACATCGTTTATTTAGCTTGGGTACGTGTACAAGCCATACATACCTCTTTCTCGTTGTATATACAAGACCGTAAAAGATTGAGGTGATCAGGCCCTGCCTCACCGTTTGATGCGGACTCGATTGCATATGTCGCGCGCTCCGACGGAAATTATGGATGCCAGCAGCTTCGACGACTCTTCCCCTCCGTGATGGGAACTGGATGATACCCGACCACGTAGAAACGACCTCCCACCATCTAATTAATCCAAATTAAATTGGTGGAAGGCCAGTTCTCGCCTTACAAAATGATCTGATCTTTTACGCCTTGTTGTATCTACTGCTCCTCGTTTATTTATTGCTCGAGGATTTTGGTGTCTTTATGGGTAATATCCAATTCCGGTAGACAGAAAGGACTCGGCCTTCCTTTGGCCTCTTGTGCAGCTCCTACCATTGTTAAGAGTGGCATCCAGCTGTAGGACGTGCGCTGCTTTCTTTTCGCTCTGTGTTCCTCGGGGGAAGCAAGTAGAGCATGGGACCCGCTTCACTTTTGCCTCGGCCATTTTACCACCACCCCCTGACCTCGAAATTGGAAGCGCCAGGAAAATGGATTATTTCTTTGAAAACGATGAAGAAAGAAAACCAACCGTCCTCCTCCCGTGGGCGATGGTGGGTGGGCATTATTGGCCTTTTGCCACACGATGCACGCTTCAAACATTTACGAAATAGACAGTGGTTGGTGTGCTCAAATCATACTCGTAAACATCTCCCAACCAACGAAATTATAGCAAAGATGGGCCTCCAGACGTAGGCATGTATGTATGTATCTTCGGGCACTCGATCGGCGAGTTCGATTGAAATTTGGACATCTCTTAGTACGAGGATAACGAACCGTCAACAATTCTACGGAACAGCCGTCCGTGAATAATCGGTCTGGCCGGCCCTCCATCACGAGTGCTGCAAAAGTTATTGCTGCTACATAGCATGAAAGGTTATATAGAATGCCGAATCAACTGAATACTGGCGGCATCCTCAGGATTAAGATGGGAAGGTTCACTTCACCAATCCCTGTAACAAGCATGAGACCAGCTAACCTATGAATTCAAGTGCGCTGCAGCGCATCAGGAGGAGGCGAGCCAAAAAAAAAATCGATTTTCTCCTAATAAACTGTGTTAGTAGGATCTTGGTTATTTCTAAAAACTAGCCAATGAAAATGCACGGATCTATGAAATGGAAGGCACACAGGGTTTGGGCTCGTTCTCCGGCGCCCGGTTGCGCAAACGATTCATATAATAGTAGTAATAAGAACAACACAAACGCACCATGCAGATTTTGTCATATCTGATGATTTACCTTAAATAAACAAACAAGCAAACAAAAAAGAGCCTTGATTCTGTAGAGTGCTCTTCTCTAGGGAAGAGAGATGCGCTTGTTCCTGGAACTTGATTGATCACCAAGGAAGCACACGGTCAATCATTCGAGAGCCTGTATCAGCCAGCAGCGGTTATCAAGTTTTTCTCTCTTCTGCATAAATACTGGTGCAGATTCAGCCTTTCGGTATGATAACTCAGCTTCGGTGTGGTTTTCGAAACTTCAAATTGTTCCCCAACAAACAACACAATTGAGTCTGGTCCACATGCACTTGTGATTAGAGCTGCCGCAGATTGAAATCTAAATTGAAACAACATAAGCTGACTCTCTTCTGAAGAAATGGAAGAGAGCAAGATTTATTTCTTCAAGTTCGACATGAACGAATCTTTTCTTCAAAAATAACCAAAAATAAATCAACTACTAAGTAATTAGTCTAAAAACGAAAACAGGGCTATGAAGGTCCACGTAACTGTAGGAGCCTTCGAGTGAACTTAAATAAATGGGTTCCCTTGGTTCCTCGCTCGCTCCACTTTGTGTAGCATATTCCAAGGCCATCTCATAATCCACCTGAACCGATAGAAGAAATTACTCTTTTAGCTGATGCATAATGAAAAATGTATATCGGAAGAACATTTCAAGAAGACAGCCGAAGCACTGATTAACATGAATTTTCCGTAGCAATTAGTCCAGATACAAGTTGTTTAAATAATAAATAGTTTTCTAGAGATCTTTGAAGTGTCATACGAGTATAACCAATTGATGATGCTAGGATAACTCCTAGCATCAGTGGCTGAACCTATCATGATGATGACAGACGACAAAATTAAGTCAATCAAGACATTACCTGCTCAACATATTGAGAAAGGCTTTCTCCGAAGGTCGTCTCCGTTATCTCCTTAGATGCTATTTTATTTAAAAGTTCATCGTCCTCTTTGTCATAGCGCTGCCTCTTCGGTTCATAATTCTGAGCCATTTCTTCAAGGACGTCCATGATGGCTCTTGAAGCATCTGGAATGTACCTGCCATAGAAAAAACATCAGAAAGGCATCCAACCATATAAATCTTTTTACATGTGTGTGAATGGCTGGGCATTAATGCAAGATGCCACTGTTCAACTCTGGTTTGCTGCAATAATCTAGTCAAACACTTGTCAACCTCAAAAAACAGGCAAACTCATCAAACAAACTTCATCTGAATTTTTGATAAACCCAGCTGCATTACACCTGAAGCTCCAGAGATATTTCTTTAAAACAGTAGACACACACACACACACACAAATACATGCAGATATGTAGAATATTTAAGCTGAGGCAATCAACTATCATACTGAAACAAGCAGACACCTTGGATATTTAATTCAAAAATAGAAAAGTTTAAAAACTTAAATTTGCATCACAAGCTTCATGGCTATGGCAATCATAATGATAAATCACCAATAAGCTTTTGATGCAAGAATCTCAATTTCATAATTGCATTACCTGGTCAGATTGCGTTTCCTCTCCTGTCGTTCACGAGCTTGAAGTTTCTTCACTATTTTAGATCTCAGTTGAAGACAACATTGTTTGATAGCAGACTGCATATTTGGACGCAGGGATCATATTAGTTTATTTTCTCTTTATAGGCCACTAAGGTGTGAAGTTTTTTTATACCTTGACTGCTGAAGAAATTTCAGTAATATCATCTCCAATATATTCCTTCCCAGTTCCTTTGAAGGGTACTTTTGTGCTTACAATGCTTACAAACACACCAATTTTATCTTGCATCTGATTGATCTTGTAACTACTCCAGCTACAATGAACAAGATGATAAATAATTATTATATCAGAAGAAAAGAATGAACATATGGTAATTTACTAAATAATTGTGTGGCAAAGAATCCAAACTTGATCTTTTTCATAGCAGTTCTTGTGACGACGTCTGCTCCTTGCTCAAATAAAAGTGGTATACGATTTGCAAAACGGAATATATTAAGACCCTATCACAAAAAATGGAACATCCTGGTTATTGCAACTCCTTAAACACAACCTGTCATGACCATGAAGGATTTACTAGGCAGCGGGTATCTTCAAGAGAGCGGGTAAAAAATGTAGTGATAAGAAAAATAGATAACTTAAGATGATTGGTACAAGAGATGAAAAATCATTCTTGAATATCAGTAACGTCATCAGCATTTAACTCACAATAAGCATGAACTCCAATGGGTTTTTTCTCCCTAAAATTAAACAACTGCAGCTTCACAAAGCCCAACGTTTATCATGCCAACAAAGCGTTAAGTGTGCTTGCACAAGATTGTGGTTTGTTCAGGAAAGCAGCACAAGAACTTTCAAACAATATAGCATGAAAAGCCAGCCACGGAATCTTAGCAAATCTTGCAATTAAATCCCATCTCTCATATGTGCTAAAAGTACACCTATGAATAAGAACAACACGGTCATGAATAACAATATATATATATATATATATATATATATATATATATATATACACACACACACACACATGTAGAACATATATAATAGAGAGCCTTTGAACCAGGAAATTGGTATATTGTTCTTTCTGAGAATAAAATATAACCAAGATATGGTTGCATTTCAAAAAGGGAAAGAGGGCGGGAGTTAGGTTGGGGGCTGTTTAAGAGATATCAAAGAGACAGGAATGGAGTAGTCTTTACAAAGCATTATACTTCTTTGGTGTAAAAGGAATATTGCATTCATCCTACAAGATGCATGAAGAGTAATTAATATTACTCATATGGGAGGACAACCCATGGCTGCAAATATTTCTTATAAATAAACCATTAAGAATGTAAAATTTCTTACTTGTTTTACATCTTTTCCGCCAAGGCTAATTCCAGCTTCAACAATGAATGGATGCCCTTCAAAAACCTGGGGACTGAATTTGCAACCAGGTTTTAGAGAGGTATTATCAGAAAATCCACAATTTAATAAAGTAAAGAAAAGAAAAACTAATTCCCACAAGAATCAGCTGATTCAATTGATGACCATGATGCAACAATTTAATTCAACTTTTGGGTAACAGGTCCTGTATGCATAACAGGAAGTAGAAATGTGTAGCAGTTTTCATCCAAATGAAGATAACAACCTGCTTGAACATGTGGCAACCATGTCTGGCTGCAGCTCCTTAATGATTCCAAGACGGAGATTGTATTCCCCTGCTGGACTAAGACACTGTCGACGTAGTAAGTCCAGAAAGTGTTCTAATCAAAATAGCATGAGAAATACATACTCAATTTCAGAGTCTAATGAGAAACAACGCACAACTTACATCACCACTAGGATCATCAAATTTAGCCTGACGAAATAGTTGATGAATCCGAACAATTTGATGAGATGTTAGATTTTTCACAGCCATTTTTGGACCAAAATCAGGGCCCATTTCCCCTGGAGAGCAGACAATAGAATAGGAAGTAATGTTCTAGTCACTACCTTTTACTGGAATAACAACTTGTGTGAGATTTAAGAGTTCTAACTTTTCATGAGATATCCAGATGGCAAGAAATGCTATTAAAAGTGCAGTCATATACAACAGGTGCTGTCCGTACCTTACAGGTGCCATAATTTTAGAGGCACCCTTAACTGTATGATAATACAGACTCAGCCTACATCAGTAAGATAAACAAAGGATATCAGTGCCACCTATGCTCTAGTATCCCTGTATAGAACTTAGCAAATACATGTGCAAATTGGCACCATATGTGCAATAGGTAGCACAAAAGGTTACATTTCATGTGGCACATCATATGCCAACATTTGTTAAGTTTTGGCTAAAATGACTATTCCACACCGGTACATAATGGGACAAATTATTGGTGCTCTAACTATGTCCATAGTTAAACTTAGCATGAACAAATGCACGTTGGGTTTATGGCAGGGAGCAGAACAACTTGCATTACAGAAAAAGAGATATTAGTTGAATAGGCCTTTATCTTACTCTTCAAGGCAGTAGGCATGCCAATCAGCTCTGGAGAGCACACGAACCAAATTCAGTTCAGTTTTTGGTCAAATCCACCTAAGTTGAACCACTTTTGGTTTAATTTCAGCCACTTCAGCCAAAGCAAACCAAAACCAATCCCAAGCTTTTAAAAAGTTTGGAAATGCTAATACTCCCATGCTCTTCCAACCCATCATCAATGCCTTCTAAGCCATTTATCCAAAAGCTTTGCTTCCAAAGATCTATGTGGATATGACAACTTGCATCAGCCTGGACAAAGACTGTTAGCAGCCTATGAGACCCCCCAATACCTTTCTAGACTGAGGTTGCTAGAAGAGTCTAATTCTTCAGCATTTTGTTGCATAAGCTAAATGAACCATGTCAATGTATTTATTGTTTTATTTTTCTTGGATTAATAGGATTTTAACTTTCTTTCACCAAAAAAAAGTTAGAACTTATTTACCTTTCGTCAATATTTTTTTATAATAATTAATATAACTTCTGGCGCCAAACAGTAAAAAAGAATCCATTATATTTCTATTCTCTTGAAATTTACTAGAATTTTAGAAAATTTTAATGTCCTAAACCGAAGAGCATAAAGTTAACCTAAAAATGATAAAATGTTTTATTCCAATATCGACCAAAACTGGAAAAAGATAACCATTTTCATGAACTGAGGCCAATAGGTGGTCAGCATGCAGCAAAGCAACCTTTTGATGTAAATGGCAGCCAAGGAGTGTTGTGCAACATGTAACTCAATCAGGTTATCACAACTGTGAAAAGAAGCTAAACTTTTGGCTAATGATAAGATCATTGACATATTTGGTCCCCACATGATGTGATTAATCGCCTATAGGAGAAATTTCTTTCATCACATAAAACCCAGGGTCGATTCTTCAAAAGCATAGAAAAAAATGAAAGAGCTAAAATTCAGCACTTTTGTTATTTCACCAAAAGTTTAATAATAAGTCCTAAAATCAATAACCAAATGGGAACTCCAATAGGATATAAAGAATTATTAACCCATAAAAAGGTAAGAACCTAGCCAATCAGGGATTTGATGAGTACCAAAACTGAAGAAGGGGTCTTCACAAAGTTCTGAGCCTTCCAGCAGCAATTTATTCAATGGTAGCATGTATTATTAATTTCATGTGCAGTAAAAGTCAATAGCCATTAGAATGAAATACTTACCCACTAAACGTTCAGCATATGACTTGCTTATATTTACAAATTCATGTTGAAGAAATTGCTGAAGTGTTTGCTTTGAAGTTTCTGCAATAAGGCGTTTGATGAGTAGTATATCAACAGCAGAGGGGTGGTGCTTTGTCTCAAGAGGAGCTGGAGGCATTACATCTGTTCTTCGTGCAAATCTAATTGTCAAATTCTTTCTGAATAACCAAACAAATGAAAAAATGTCAGTCATATATATGAGGAAATAAAGTTGGAAACATGAATTTTGAAACATAACTTACTCTGAAATGCCTGAAATAAATTTAAAAAAGAACTGAGAATAAGGGGTGATCACAGCCATCTGCCGCATATAATGAAGAATCTTTGACTGGATAATCAAATAAGGTCGTTAAAGATTAACAACCAAACTATTTGCATTTTCATTCTTTATCACAAAAGTTTTAATGGTCCAAACATGAAAAAAGTAACAGAAGCACCACTCACTCGATAAGTAGTCCAGTTGCCCTCGATGATAATTTGAATTTCAGCTCCATGCCACTTGTCTTTGTTTTCCCTTTTTTCATGTAGATGAACATGAGGAATGTTTCTGAGCAGCAGAAAACACAAAATATCAGGAAATAACATCAACAAACATATAAAAATGCCTGAAAAACGACAAGTAAATGCAATAGTCTATCAAGCCTGTTCTCAAACAAATATTTATTCCAGGTAATGTACTTACTGATGTATATCGATGTCTAATCGACAAAAAGATGCATAATTTTGGCCCCTTGTAGCTGACAGAATCTCGATGGGAAGCCCTGTGCTCATCTTAGACCAAATCAATGCCTGTTATACTCCATGAATAAGTCGCTCAGTTTAGAAAAGGTATCAAGAGCAAGAAGGGTGACATTAGAACTAATGTTTTAGAATACTAATGAAGTCATAATCATCGTTGTCAGGATCAGGATGGTATACAATCACAGAGAAAAGCATGGGGATCTTAAGAATCTGTATTTTAATAATTAGTGATTCCTCATTAAAATTAGAACAGAGAATACTGGAAGCACGAATTATTTGAAAATTAGATGGATTGAACATGAGGAGATACCATATTTAACAGCATAATACAAAACAAACATCAGTTTAATCAGTATCCTCCCTAGCCATCTTAATTATTGGATTGTAAGGTCCTAATGACTCTAGGGTTGAATAAAAACATGAGTCGGTCTTGTTTGAAAACTTCACAAATGTTACATTTCAATGAGGAATGTAATATTGATCTTCTATAGAATCAAGTATGTTGAAGACAAAAAGTTGCATTTTATGGTGAAAATTAAAAGATTGAAACTCTGTACTGTTACCAACAGTTTGTAAATTGAACTTGCATTAGAACATCTATAAATGTGGAATGCCTGCATACATGTTTCACGCAGAATTACATTCACTTATAAACATTGTTGAACAACTAGATAAACTGATCGTATCTTACTAATGTCATAGGAGGAAACCAACAAATAAAAACATACCATTTTTGCACCAAGTCCAAATTTCCCACGTGTTTGTTTTAACCCATATTTTGTACCAGAGAGAACTGAAAGGGACCCAATTAAGTTAGCTTTATAAATTTCATCAACCGCAAACATTACAGACAAACGAATGGCATCATACCTCTTCCAAACATATTTGGGATTTCATCATGTGGCATCCCTCTTCCGTTATCCTGCATCAGATATTCATTACAACCACAAAATTGGTGATTTCTCTGGGAGCACAAACCAGTCTTGGAGGATACAAATGGAATGAATAAAATAAGATGTGTTTTGAAATGACAGCAGAATTTTTTCATTGTGTTAGATTTGAAAGCCACCTTACAGGTTACTTTAAAGAATGATGCTTCACCTCGACCTTTCCCACTCTTGATAGCAGGAGGTTCTTTCAGCTTCTTCCCAAGGGCAACATTCTTAGCTTGAATTTCTTGCATACGAGCCTCTTTGGCAAGACGCTTCTACAACAATATAAAAAAACAAAATTATTTGTGAAATCAAGAGAGATAGGTTCTAAAGATTGAGAGCTGCAGAAGCACCCCCGTAACCATGGATCGCATTCATGTTCTAGCAAAGCAATTGAATAGATAACATAATTTTAAACAAATAGAGGTTAGATGACCAAAATACACACCTCACGAGCCTTAGTAGTCTCAAAATCATCATAAAGTTCTTCATCAACACGCTGTCGATCAACAAGCCCAATCATTGTGTTGAATTTGTTCTTAGTGATCTCTTCTCTATGCATCAAAGACATCATGGGATATCAATATTTTAGTGGGCTACCGGCAAACCAGATAACTATCAAGATAGTCATGGACAAGTCACTAACATTATTAATTCGATATCTGGGAGCTGAGAAATAGACTCGGCCGAATCAAGAGCATTTTCCACAAGTTCTCTCACGGTTGTGTATAATGATTTTCCAGGCTGGAGGAGAAATAGAAAGAAAAAAAAAACTCAACTTGATCAGAAATACACTTCCTAACTTATAGGTTGATTTAAAATTTTCAAGGTGAAAATACAGAGACCACACCGCCAAAAAAATAAGCAAAACGCACAGGCCAAACGAAATCATTGATAGAACAGAGCTACTGGAAGAGCTTACATTGTCGAATCCAGCTATGTTCTTGTTCTCAGCGAAGAACTCAGCCGGGGATTCTGCAAAAAATAAAAAAAAGCACAGAAAAACCCAAATCAAAGCGAGAAAAAACCAGAATACGAACGCACGGGTGGCGGTTTCCAAGAACACTCACTCTGCTTCAAAAGGCTTTCTTTTTCCATGCAATTCGTCTTCGATCTGCCCTTATTTGTCCTCTTCAACTCATCCGAGCTTCCTCGGCTAGAATCCATCAGCACCCAGATGCCAGTTCGATTGGAGAAGCTAGAGAGAGATACATACAAGAAGCAGACGGAGATTCCGAAGTCGGGAAGGCGATCTAAGGAATGTGAACGATTTTTAACGGAGTACGGAATGGGCTCGTCCAAAGCAGCCGAGATCGCGAGGAATAATGAAATGAGAAAATTCGAACTTAGGGTATGGGTTGGTGGGGAGCGAATCTAAGAGAGGTATTTAATCTTTTGGGTGTTCGAATCCAACAGGTAACAGTTAGGGTTTTGCTTCGAGGATGGGCGCCGCGAAATGGGCGAGAAAAAAAATAATAAGAAAACGAGGAATTGCTCATAAATAAGACCCTTCAGATTTCTGACGGATATGTAGTATTCCTGCTTTGAGCTGCATGTGTGTGCGACCGGCGGGACTGTGACCAGAACTATCCTTGCACACGATGGTTGGCTTGAACTCGATGCTGTCGTTCGCCTCCCTCCGAACGGTTGGCCTCTCGTTCACTTTTTAATTAACTTTTATTTATTATTTATATAAATAAAAAAAAGCAAGATTCGAATTTTTTTAAAAAAAAATCTCTCCGAATAAAATTTTATTATATTAAATTTTATATTCTTATTCAGATTATGATCTGATAATGCATATTTTGGCATCACCCACGTGGACCTAGGCAAACAGACACATTGATGTAGGCGTGGAATCTCAAGTACATGGCGCGCAGCACACACATGGCGAGCAGTCGCTTGCCACCCCTTCCGTACAAACGACATCATCACGGTACAACTGTCTCGGAAAGCTCGCGGCAGTGTCGTGTGACGTCGATCCGTGCAAGTCGATCGACGCTCGTACAGAAGCTAAAGTCGGTTGTCCGAGAAGCCAACCGTAGTTAATTGACCTCATACGACCAACTCATCCTCGCAAGTATAAAAGTTAACCCTCCTTAACTAGGAGGGGGAGGACCTTATTCGACCAACTCTATCTCATTTCACCAAAAGCTAACTTAAGCTTTGGAGGGGTCGAGTCGGGAAATCCCCCCTCCCGACCTCGACCTGTGTGCAAGAGTCCAATGACGGAGAAGTAGGCCACTCGCCAAGAGAGAAGACCGCGCTCGGGAGACGAGGCTTGAACCCGACCCGACTCGATGCTCGCCCTCACAACTCGAGCATCCACATGGGCAACCTTGTACATCCGGGACTAAACCGAGCCGTGCTGACACCTCGGCCACAGTGTAAAGATTCACCAATATTTTGGCACTAGAATGAGGGCCCTGATGTCGCAAGATTAGCCCTAGCTAGGCAACTTGGCTGAACACTTAGGCAACGAGCACCTCTCGACCCACTCAACTCTTGGGTTCGGAGAACAACTCCCGCCTCCCCCGGGGCAAGAGGCGAATATCTCCGCAATGACCCCGGGCCGCTATTAGCAGTTGTTCACTAATCGGGGGTTATTGCCTCCTAGGATCGCTACCGCTCAGCCTCCCATCTTCGCCGAGGCATTCCTTACCCTAACGCCAAGTCCAAGTTTTGTTGGGGATGATACAAACTATTGTTCCCCACCTCAGTGCTAATGAAAAGTTTCGAAGTCGGTGTGGCACACCATGTCAATACAATGTCGTCGTCCCGCGAAGAGTGGAATAGCGTCGCTCGGGTATGACGGTGGCATCGCTCGGGTACAACACCATCCCGCAAAGAATGGAACGACGTTGCTCAGGTGTGATGACATCACCACTCAGGTACGATGGCGTCCTCGCAAGGAATGGAACGACGCCGCTCGAGTATGCCTCTACCCCACAAAGGCAATGACAGCTTTGTTCAGGTACGATGCTGCGTAGGACAACTGGTGTCAGCGTGGAAGGTATGGGTTCGCCACTTAAGAGGGCAGTGGCCATTAAGAGGCTGGTAACAGCCAACCCTCACAGGCAGGCATAAAAGCCCATCATCTGGCCAACATAGGAGAGGCTTTTTACTCACACATTCTATTCTCACTCATTCAATGGAAAGCTAACTTAAACATTTGAGGGGTCGGATCAAGAAATTTCCCTCCCAATCTCAGCTTGTGTGTAGGAGCCCAACGACATCAAAAGTTACTCTCGAGAGACAAGGTTTTAACCCAACCTGACGCACAAATGTATATGTGAAAGACCCTGCGCATCGAGGACCCTAAGACAAAGGGCAGCATCGGATTCGAGACGACCGACGCCAGCTCCCAAGACGCGAGTGCTAGACCAGGAGACCCTGCGCATCTAGAATCGACCCTCGCCGTGCTGACTCCCTGACCATGACGTAGAGAGACCCAGTCGTGCTGACTCCCCGTCCACGGCTAGGTGACCATAACTGATCGATTTTCACCAATAGCTTATGCTAAACTGGAAAGAGGGGTTTGAATCATGGTAACAAAAATTTTATCATTTTAAATTTTATATTGATCTGACACCGCCAAAGATATAAAAAGGAAATCATACCACTGAGACAGGTAATAGGGTGTAAGGTATATTTCGGATCTAGGCTATGTCACGACTGACGCTATGCCACGCTACAGCCAAGTCAGCAAGAGGAGCACCCCCACATGCCGAGCCAAAATCCGTACCAAGGCATTACTCAGTACGTCCTGACCTAGAAAGCTTAGGACGGCGTCGCATGGCGTCGTTCTGCGCACTCCGAGACGACGACCGCACAAAGGTACCATCTCACCTCTTGAGGATCGATCACCATGCCAAATCTGAATACGACCGACCATCGTACAGTAGTATAAAAACCCCTGGTCGGCATTCGGCCCAAGGGGAGGCAAAAGAGAGAGAGAGAGAGAGAGAGAGATCAATCCACTACTGACTTACTCGTCAAAGGGGCCA